CCCCCTGTCCTACTTCAAACAAGTAGGGAAGGGCTGCTGAGAGCTCTGATTTGGGCTTGCAAGTTCCCATCACCCAGATGACCCCGACAGGACTGCAGCTCTATGATCACGCTCTTTAGGAGCCTGCCTGAAAAATCTCCTTTCTTTGCCTTTGGGAAGTTCTCAGAACATAATCTCACTCCATCCACTACTCTGCAGGTCCCCCAAATCTTTCAGTGGCAGGGGCTTAGTTCCCACATCATGCATATTCAAGCAGACACTGGACACCAGGTGACTCTGGCTTCAGGAATCTGGCTTCAGGATTTGCCCTATGCCAAGCAGGAGTTCAATGAGCTTCTCTTTCCTCCCTCTGTTCTTCCTTGCTCTCTGCTGCCTGCACACTGCTGCCATTTGCTGCCACTCTTGCTTTAATGAATTCCTTCCTTATCTACACTTGTCAGACCTGTTTGAGAATTCTTTCTCCATCAGAGTCAAGAACCCTCCCCTGCCCAGGTTGAGGTTTCACCTAGTGTGCAGGGAGAGACTGCCCCAGATTCAGCTGCCTGACAACAGTTGGACAATGGTTGCGATGGCTGGAAATCAAGCAGCTGCTTTGGATTGTGAGGTAGAAGGCACAGGTTTAAAATGGCAGAGCAGCAAGACAGAAGGAGTGTGGGTCCCTCATAATCATGGAGCTGCCTCACTAGCTCTAGGTGTACTGCCTGTGAGCTAAGCCTCTGTCTTATCACCGGTATTTACATCACCTTCCGGCAAATCTAGTTCTAATGCAGATGCACTGTGGTTAAGTTTATGCTGAAACAATGGGAATCTCTCCCTCCCTTCATTTACTTTTTTTGTTTTTTAAGGCTCTTTTCAGTTTATTGCACGAAGGAGTTACACTAGTCCAAGTTAAAAGCAGATCACAAATGGTTACACTATACAAGCTGTGAGGTTTTTAAACTTGTGACAAAGGACAGAAGGGAAATTCTACTCACTGCAAGGAAATCCTCACTTAAGCTTCAGAGAACCAAAAGCACTTAAAACCCATGAACCTCCAGCTGGTCCCCCTCAGCCAGTCCAGCCTCTACCTGGAGCTGGCGTGTGTTCTTGCGCTGGTCACCCTGTACTACTCCATGTTCCAGATGCTCAATTACAGTACCATGGCAGGCAGATTTCTTCTTAAACGCCTCACTAGTTTCTTTTTACTGTAATCATCAGCCATCCCTTGGACAGTAGTAAGGGTCTTCCTGCCATTTCTCTGTTGAACTTTTACATGGATATAAATCCTCAATGCCAGCAGGAGGCAGATCATCGCCTTCACTTGCATCAGCAAAGGGGTCGAACGAGTGGAGATTCTGGTTAGTGAACCTACGATTCCTTTTCCTCCAGGAAAACGGGAGGGAGGGACGGGGCGAGGTTGCTGCTGAGCCATCAGCGGCAGCTCAGCGACTGGGGACCCTCCCTGCCTTCACTTTTTCACTCTTTCCCAAGATATGTGTTCAGTATGTCCCCACCCTGAACAGGGCATCTTACCTGTGTTCAGTAAAAAAAAAAAAAAAAAAAAAAAATAGATTCACAGCTCAAGTAGGGAGAGTTGTTGCAAATATTAACATGACAGATTGATACACATGTTTACTAACACCAAGAGTCTGTGCACTCACACAGATGTTACTCAAACTTCTCCAGAAGTTATACAAACACATATGCACCCAGGCGCACACACACATACACCACAGACACATTTTCTCTCACTGCTGTCACTCCTGTGACACCTGTTGAGGCCAAACCCCGACCTGGACAAGCAGGGTGTGTTCACGTGGGGCCAGTAGCCTCCAGCTTTCCTGCTCATAGAGGCTGCATGGCTTCAGCCTGAGCCTGGTCTAGGCCAGGAATGCCAGGAGCGACCCCTCCAGCCCTCCCTGCCTCTCAGCTCAGGTTTGACTCTCTAGGACCTGGCAAAGATTCCTCATGGAGCTGCCTTCCCAACTCCTTAACCTGTTAGACTTCGGGTGCCAGACAACATATGGAGAATCCCGGGGGGCCTCTAGACAATGGATAACAGAAGAGTCATTAGCCCCTTTATACTGAGGAGGAAGCAGGCTGGGAGAGGCAGAGGCATGTGACCCATTAATGACAGGACCGGAATTTGACCTCTCCTGACTCCCAGCTCTTTCCCTAACCACATGCCGGAGAGCAGGTTGTTGCTTTTTTATAACCACTTTTGCCTATTACTTTATACCACTTAGTACTGTGTACTAGGCCTGTGCCAAGTGCTTTATATACATTGTCTCACTTGTTCCCCACAACCATCCAATGAGATGAGTTGGATTATTCCCACTTTAAAGAGGAGGGAAGTGGAATCAAGGAAGACTAAATAGCCTGCCCAAGGTCACCAGCTTCCCTGGAGCCGGTCAGCATTCGCAGTCTAGTTGTCTGGGCCTAAAGCTTGGTGGCCCCACCCTGTGGTGATGCCTCCCGGGCCAGAATAGAAGCTCACCTGGAATTTCTGGAAGGACTTCAGGGGTTCCTTGAAACACTTAAAGAGCACACACATGTGCAAACGTGCATTTTCTAAGGAAAAGGGCATGCCTCGCAGCCCTTTTCCCAAGGAGATCGACCCAGGAAAGGCCAGAAGGGCCAATGCTGATGAAGCCCTGCAAGTCAGGACAGGCAGGTGAGTTTTATTTGGGGACGTGCTGGGTGATGTTTGTTTTAACATTGGCCTTTTTGCCACCAACAGCCCAGGAAGGTCAAATCTCTTGCTGTGCGATAGTTGATCTCCAGCCTTCTACCACCCGGAACAGCTCACAGGACACCCTTACCCCAGCAAGGTGAGCCATGTGGCCAGCAGCCAGGGCCAGAGCCAAAACCCCACCTCCATCCACACCCAGCTCCCCATCATGCTGAAAGGGCCACCTGGGCCCTGGAAGCCCCTCATCCTGCTACCAGGCAGTGACACAGAACCCCAGAGCGGACAGGTCTTCTCAGAGGTCTCACTGGACCCCAGCCATCCCAGGTAAGAGGCGGGGAGTGAGGGGAACAGAGGCGCGGCCAAGGGGCAGCAACAGAGACGGGACTTGCCCTGGGAGGAGCTGCGAGGGCAGCCCCAGGTCTACCGGGAGGAGAAGCAGGGTGCACACACTGGGGGGCTCTTTGCCCACTGTTTACCAAGGCAAACAGGAGGCTACAGGAGCCCACCTGCTGGCCCGGACGCTCTCTCCACCTGGGGCTCTCAGGGCACTCAAGACCATGCGCCAGGTGACTGTGGGGGCAACTCTGTGCCTTGTGTTCCTCACTATACGATGAGAGGATTAAGGGAGATGGTGTCCAGGAAACAAAGGGCCTTTCTGCCATCATGATGAGGACAGCACTGTGACCCAGAGCTTGGCACGGCAAGGCTACAAGGGCTTGAGAAGCTTGAGAGGTTGTCAGCCTCCTGCCCTGCCCCAGCCCAGGACCTTGAGGGGCAGTAGGTTGAGGGAGAGAACTGATGGGACAAAGATCAGGGGTTGGGCTATCTCAGGAGGGAGGCTGACCCCTGCTGACTGCCCTTTCCATGTGGTCGCCACCCAACCACCCAGCCCCTTTGACTACCAGCTGGGTGGCCCCCTGAACTCGCCCTTCCTCCCAACACCCACCAGCTGTCCACACCCCAGCCCTGAGCTCCTGAAAGTCACTCAGTCATCAATCCCACCCTGCACTGGCCCCTTAGCACCTCTCCCCGCCTCCCTGGGGCCTCGCTCCAGCTCTACTTCCACACGGGAGTCCAGGCATGACTCCGCCTTGTCACTCTCCTGCATAAGTCCTTCACTGGCCTGAGGTACCCCCAAGGGGGAAGGTAAGCAGCTTACAGGGCTTTAAACACTGTCTGTCCTCCCAGCATCCTCCCTTAGCTGCTCTAGGCCCACAGCCCTTTCGTTTCCCACCTCCACACCTACGGCCACAGTTGCCTCTGCCAGGAGCACCATTCCCACTGCCCCAAGGGTCATGTCCTCCAAGAGGCCTCTCCTTGTCCTTCCCAACCTCCCAGTGAGTACAGTTTACCCTAGTCAGCTCTGGAGGCTGAGCCCCCAGTGGCCAAGCAGGGCAGGGAGGGCCTTCACAGCCTGGTGCCAACAGGGCACATGGCAACACCACATTGTAAGTAAAGCCCATGCCTGCCACCCGGAGGCCAGCTGACTGACTCAGATCCCAGCTCCTTAAGTGCCTGAACGAGCTGGGCCCTGCGCTGTAACAGGGCAGTAACAGTGCACACCCCACAGGATCCTGGCCAGAATTTTTACTACACCTGAAGCATCTGCGTCCCTTAGACTGTGAGCTATTAAATACGGCAGGGGCCTAGTAATCACTACCAGCTGCCAGTCACATGGCTTCCAGAGACAAAAAGCAGAGGATAAGGGCAGAGCCTGTAGACAGTAATAGCTCCCAGCCCCCAACCCTGCTGGCCTCCCACTACTCACAGTACACCCATCACTGATCAGGCCTCACTAGTGTCTTCTCCCCTCCACAGCTCACCTAAACTCCTCTCCAAGGAAGCTCTCCTGGAATGAACTAGCACTGCCTCCACTGATGGAGCCCTTTCTGCCAGGGGACCTTCCTGGGATGAGGGTGCTCCCGGAAAAAGTTCAGCAGAATCTAAAAGCTGAGACAGCCCAATCCCTGTCCTGGCTCAGCCCAGGTGGTGGGGTGCCTCAGGTCAAATGATAATCAGGCAGCACCCCAATATCAAATGCAAAAGGTCATGGGTACAAGCCAAGCTCATGTCTGCTTAAGGCCTTTCCAGACATGCTCTGTCTGCAGACTACTCCTTCCCTTGCTCTTCAGATCACTGACCCTTTCTCACCCTGCAGATTGATGCCTCCTAACACCTCCTTCCAGACACCCTCCCTGACAAGATCCTAAATTAAATCAGGGTCCCCTATTAGGTTCCACTTCAGCCCCTGCCTACAACCTTCACAGCTGTCAATGTCATGAGGCCTAGCCCTCAGCAAATCATCAATTCAAAATCAAGGAGACAGATGTGAACTAGAAATTTTTATTGCAGAAATTGACCAAGTTTCTAATTGGGTGGTCCCAGTTGAGGTTGGGGCCCTCTGCACAGGGCTGAAACAGGAGTACATCCGGGCCCAGGGCCTCAGAGCTGTGAGATGATGTTGGGGGCCAGGCTGCAGGTGAGGCCTGTGCCATCTGGCTCCACATTCAGGGACTTCACTACACCATCCTCTACCACCATGGAGAACCTGCCAGAAAGGGGGACCAGGCCTGCAGCAACAGCCTGGGCCTGGAGGCTGGGAAAGGAGACAGGAGGTCTGGCAGGGAAACCCCCCAGAGGACCCTCCCGTTTTTACCTCTTGAGCCGTCGATTCCCAAAGAGGGGCACCAACGAATCATCTAGTAATAAATCTGTCTCCTATGAGGAAAAGCAGAGGAAAGGCTCAGGAACCCCCAGAAAAGGTCAAGTCCCCCAGCTGCTCTTCACATTGGCCATGTCTCTCCAAGTTCCTGCTTCCAAGGCCTGGCACAGGAACTGCCCTGTAGGGAGGGGGCTGGGGGAGCACTTACCTTCCCAAAGGCCCCAGTGGGGTCAGCCAGGAGCCGAACCTAAGGAGAAAGTAAAGGTCACATGGAAAATCTCACGCCTGGTCCCTGATCCCCCTGCGGGACCTGCACCTCACCTTGTCTCCCACGCTGTGGGCTCTTCCCCACTCTTCAGTCACAAAGACATCGTTAACACTCAGACATGCCACCACCTGGACCCCCTTGGCCTTCAGAGCCCCAGCTTGCTCCACAAACCCTGGCAGGTGGGTCTGGGCAGGGGAAACAAAGGGTCAGCAAAGGGAAACTGCCTCTGTTCTTCAGCCTATCCTTTATCTCTAGGCCTTCTTCACTCCCCTGTTTCAACATCTTTGGACAATGAGAACTGTGTAAGCCACAGTTCCTTTTAGCCTTGGCCATGAGGAAGATCCAGTGCAAACTTCTGTTCTGTGGTCAAAACCATGAACATCCCGTGGGCATGACTATGTCTTATTGACCCAAGCCCAAGGACCTTCCATGTGCCTGTTACCAGCAGGGTCAATAAAAGGTGTTGGATTTAATTGCAATACCCTTTTCCCCTACATTCCTGGTACCATAACCTTTCCACAGCCTCTGCTTATTACCTGAACACTCTGGTATGCTTTTTAACTGTCACACCGTCTACATACTCGTGCTGCAAGCTGCCCCAGGACTACATGCAGGACTCATGAACAATACAAAGATGTATACAAGATCCCAATTGCTAAGCAGCAGAAGGGCAGGTCTCACCTTGGAACAGCCAGGGGTAAAGGCCCCAGGGACTCCAAACAGCACCCCCTTCTTGCCCTTGAACAGCTCTGCCAGGTTCACCTTGTTCCCAGGCTCACGTTCAAACACCACCACGGATGGGATGGCATCTCCCACCTGGAGGAAATGACTCCAAAATGAGGAATAGAGCAGCTGCACCTGGTGGAGCCCCAGGCTGACACCCAGCAGGGAAGTCCGATCCTGTCAGAGCCTCCAGAGGTCTCTGTCACCCTCCCCTCTTCCCCCACAGCCTGTTTGCCCCACATCCTCCAGGTTTCAAGACAGCCCTATCCCTCTAGAGGGCCTACTGGTGACAACACAAAAAGGAAGAGAAGGCCCCCTGGGTGTCCCTTGGGGTTGAGTAAACAAGCCTTCTGAGTTACAGGAAAGGAGCGGGATAAATGGGCAAGGGAGAAGGGGCAGAAGCTGCATGCAGGGGGCTGAAGAGGAGGCCCTGACAGCAAGGAGGGAGAGGACCCTGGCCAGGTCTGAGTATCCCACCCTCAAAAAGAGAAAAAGGGACAACAAAAAGTGGGAAAGTTTGGGGGGAGGAGGTTGTAGGTCCCTCCATCCAGGAGGTGTGGACTGGAAGGAAGCTCTGAAGACGGGCTTCAAGGGGCTGGGAGAGACAGACAAAAGGGAGGAAATGTCAGAGGCGGGAGGAGAGTCTGGGAGAAACTCAGTGATTGGGAGTAGGACGAAGCAGAAGAAGGACGTGTCTTGAAAGAACATGGGAGGGGCAGGGAGTGGAGAGCCGCAGGGAGCTTAGGATGGTTCCAAATGAGAGGGGTGGACTCCGTAGATGGAGTGGAGTGCGGGAGACACAATGGGCGCTCTAAGGCAACGGCCGTTTCAGAAGATGGGGTGAAGAGTGATGCCCAGTAATATGACAAAAGCGTCCAGAAGAGTATGGGGACGCATGTACAGGGGTTGAAAAGGCGATCTGGGGCAAAGGGAACAGTTCCAGAAGGTGGGGGAGGTCAAGGTGTCGCAGCATGGATGAGCAAGAGAGCCCCAGGGGCTGTTCCAGGAGATCGGCATGAGGCCCCTAAAACTAGAGATTGGCGGGGCAGTCACAGGGTCTTGCGGAGAGAATAAGGGAGACATCCGGCAGAAGGAGTCCAGGATGGCGGGGAGGGATCCGGGTGGCAGGAAAGAGGGTGCCTCTCCCCCAGACAAGTGGGATGGAGAGCCCTGGGGTGACGGGAGGGAGCGGGGTTCAGGCCTGGCCCGGCCAGCGGTCACCTTGATTGGGGCCATGACTGCGGAGGCGCTTCTGAAACCACAGGCCCCGCCAAGCGTCCACTCTCCGCCTCGTTCTCGGACCCCTCCTGCTACCGCCGCTGCCGCTGCAACAGGTTTGACTACAGCAGCCGGCGCAAGTACCGAGGGCGCCCTGACGCCCAGGACGCGCAGCACCACCAAACGCATGCCGGGCCCTGAGGCCGCTAACGACAGTTCGCAGCCACGCCCCGCCTCCAAAACGCCTCCCTGTCGGGCCGCGGCTGGCTGCGAGGCCAGGCTTGAAGTACTCCCAGGAACCCTTCAAAAGGCGGGGCCTCGGCCGCGCCCCGCCCCCCGACAAGGCTCCTTCACTGCTTCCGGGACGCTCGGTCTTATTTGCATAAGGGGCTGGACCACTGGCGCGGTTGCAAGTGAGACCTCTCAGCCATCGAACAGTGTGTATTTGCGTACAAGAATAGGGCGCCGCAGTTTTGATGGGCTGAATTTACGTATTGAGGCAGTTTCTGTTCTGAACCGAAAACGAGGGAAGGGAGACGATGGTGTCAGGTGCCTGTGCAAGAATGAAACATTTTGATTTCAACGAGGTGTTGTGCATTGCAGCTGTTTTACCTACGATCTGTGTTGTTTGTGATTTGCATTGAGTGGAGGCTTTGCTCAGGCAAAACCACTGGGCCTGTGCTGTGGGAACCTCCTCCTGAAATGCTTCCGGTAGCAGCGCGGGATCCGACCAGGCCTTTCAGATCCCTCTGCCCCGGCGAGCAGTAGTACCAGCAAGTTCGCCGCTTCCGCTCCTTCCAACCCTCCAATAGGACAGAAAATGGAGCGGCCCCGGAAGTGATGCAGCCGGATACTGGTCTCCCTCCGGTTCCGGCTTAGCCGGAGAGCGTTGTGGCGACATGAAGCTGCTCACCCACAACTTGCTGAGCTCGCATGTGCGGGGGGTGGGGCCCCGTGGCTTCCCTCTGCGCCTCCAGGTACCGGCCCCAGCGTGGTTTCGCGCCCCACTTCTGGGCAGGATACGGGAGCCAGGCTCCGGTCCCTGCCTAACTAAACCTCTCCGCCCGCAGGCCACCGAGGTCCGCATCAACCCTGTGGAGTTCAACCCCGACTTCGTGGCGCGTATGATACCCAAGGTGGAGTGGGCGGCGCTTCTGGAGGCGGCTGATACTGTGAGAACCCCTACCTCCTGCCCCCCCAACTGCTGTGCACCCTCAAAGAGTGGTCTCGCTGCAGCCTCTTGCACCGACCGGTAGTCTGGTCTCAGGGTGAGAGTCGGGAGGCCCAGAGTGATTTAAGCCTCTTGCCCACAGTTGCATCTGGTCGAGGTGCCCAAAGGGCCTGTTCAGGGGTATGAGCAAGATGAGACATTTCTAAGGAAGATGCACCACGTGTTACTGGAGGTGAGAACTGGCCCATCACTTTCTTGTCCCAGCCACATATAGGCACATCCAGAAGCTGCCATGCCCAGCTCTGTTCCCCACTTCCCCTTAGGTGGAGGTGTTGGAGGGCACCCTGCAATGCCCAGAGTCTGGACGTCTGTTCCCCATCAGCCGTGGGATCCCCAACATGCTGCTGAGTGATGAGGAAACTGAGAAGTAATCCTGCCAGGCACCAGTTTTTAATTTTGTGATCATGTGTATCTCTTAGGTATATCCTGTATGCTGGTTCTGTCATGTGTCCCCAACCCTTGACCCAGTGACACGCCAAACATACAGTGTTCTTGAGCTTGATATATTTTCTTCTCATTAAAGGTTCAAAACCAAAAGCGGTTTCTCTTTGCAGCAAATATACATTAAAATAGAGTCTCTGTACAGCCAAGGGCTCTGGGCCCTGGCTTGCCCCATGTCCCTGCACCTCCCTGGCCAAACCCAAAAATAAATATAGTGTTATTGCTCTGCAGGGCGTAGAGGCAGTGCTCCCTACCCCCTGAGGAGGCTGGGTGGGAGCTGATGGGGGGCCTGGCCACCCAGGAGTCCAGGGGCTGGAGCCTGCTTGGAGTTATTGCTTCAAGGGGGGGCAGTAATGCCCAATGCAAATGATAAGGAGAGGAGCGAAGGGGGCAGGGGCCTTTGCTCTCCAAGTCCCCCTCTGCTGTGGAGAGGGGGTTGAATTAAGCAGCAGCAAAAGCATCACCCATTGGGAGACTGTGGCGTCCACTCCCTTCCCTCCCTGAGATCAGGCTTCTGCCCCTCACGTGTCCCCTGCAGCTCCCTATGGCTTCCGCAAGGCCCCCTACACGCTGGAGGCATGTTATGGCTTGCAAGGGGCAGCATTGTGCCCAAAGCCTGGGCACACATTCCCAGTTTCTAATACCCCCTGGGTGGGGGAGGGGAGGGCGTAGGGCCTGCTCCCAGGGGCTGATGGTATTGCCTGGCCCTGCCAGCAGGCTGTTGCACTGCCCAGACCCCAGCTCTGCCCTCTCGGGGCTGACCCCATGCTGGGCGGGTCCTGCCAGCACCCACCCATGCCCACCCCTTGCCTCAGTCCATCATGGCCTCGAGCATCTCCAAGAACAGCTTGTGCATGGGGACCTTGCCCTCCAGCTTCACTCCATAGAAATGGGCCAGCACTTTGCCCGCTGTCTGGCGAAGGAGTGGTAGCGTGAGCAGCAGCCTTCCTGCCCGCCGCCGCTCAGCACCCCCTCCGGGGCCTGCCCGACCAGCTTCATACTCCAGCAGGGCTTCATGCAAAGCTTCTCGCAGCTGCTCCACAGCCTCGGCATCTTCAATGTGCACAGAGTCTGCAGGAAGGGGAAAGAGCTGTTGATAATGGGCCAACTCCAGAAAGGGCAGAGTCCACACCAGCGTGGGTATTGCAGGATGCGACCTAAGGAGCCAAACATGGGTTTGTTGTTTGGTTCACTGAGGCATCACGAAATTCTCCTGCCCATGAGCCAGGACCTACCTTTCCTCCAGCTACGGCCACCTCTTAACCCTCCTCACCTTCCCTTCCACTAAATTGTTTCCTTTTCCACATAAGGTTGGCACTAGAACTCAAAATCCTATGTGCAGTTCTGGGCCTGCCCTTGCCCTGCTTTGTGAATTTCAGCAAGTCACTGTTCCTCCCTAAGCCTCAGTTTTCCCTGTTGGCAAAATGAGGCTGTGCCATCACCCATAGTTAAAAACTAGAGGGCCCTGTGGAAAGTCCTGTCGGTCATGCCCCAGACATACCTGAATTGGCAAGCGCCAGTGCCTTCAACAGGACATACTCCTCACGCTCCAGACGCAGGGCCTGCAGTCGCCGCACCAGTTGGAGCAGGGCAGCCCCGAGTTCCCCCAGGCCAGCTGCTCGCGCCCCCTCTTCATCCAAAACCAGGTCCTCAGCGAAGGCCAGCTCATCCTGCAATGGCAGTGAGCGCTGGGCCACACCTAACACCAATACCTCCATCCATACACTCTGCAGTACTGACATCTGGTCAGACAGCGACAGTGAGGAGAAGCCTGGAGAGAAGTGGAAAGCGAGGCTGAGCAAATGCACCAGAGCCAGGCATGGCCTGGCTGACCCAGAGAAGCCGCACATCACCTGGGCCCTTTACCTGGGATGCTCTTGGCCCAGCTGATGGTAACCACAATCTCTCGGTCAAAGAGGTCACAGAGGGTAGCCACGGCTGGGAGATGCCCATCAGGGCCCGCTGGATCGGGCATGGCATATAGCTTCTCAGGCTCAACCACCAGCAGATGGGACACCAGTGCATTCACCGGGGCTGCAGTGACAGTTGGAAGAGGTGCTCAAGTTCATCACCTTGCAGGCCCTTCAAGGTCCAGCATCTTTCTAGAGTCAGTTCTGCTGTGACCCTCCTCACCAGCCACTGGCCAGTCAGGTTCAGATGCTGCTCTCTGGGAAGGGTTCTCCCTTTCTCCCAGAGAAGGCCAGTCTGTTTGTGGACAGGTTCTGAGTTTAGAAATCCATTCCCTGTTCCCAGTTGTACTGCCTGGGGACTAACGCAGAAAAAAGTAATTTCAAATACTTTTCAAAATACTTCTTGGGGCAAATGACTGAGTGACTAAGGGGAAATCTGGGTTCCAGGGGCCAAGGTAACTACTATCCTGGCTGAAGGATACCAGACAGGTCTCATGTCCTGGTCCCACCCCAACCCTACAGCTCCAAGGCCCCAGTGCTCTCACCTGTCTTCCGAGGACCTCCAGCTACGGCCAGGGGTCCAGAAGGGAAGGGGCCTGGGAAGGGCAGTGGGTCCACCTCTGGTCGCCGTTTGTACTTCTGACGCCCACCCCGGACACGGTCCAGACGTACCCCTTGAATGGTAGGACAGGGCTGTGTCCATGGGGCTGCAGGTGACTTGATCTGCAGAGCCCTCCTGCCAGTGCATCCCACCAGAACTTCCAGGCCTTGCCCACCCAGCCCCAGGCACCCAGCAACCCCAGCACTTGCCCAGGCCCCTGCCCAGTGCTCACCCTCCTTGAGCATGCCCACCCGCAGGCACTTGGTGAAGCGACAGGCCTGGCAGGCCTTACGTCTCCGCTTGGTAATCTCGCACTCATTGGAGGCTGGACAGCTGTACTCGATGCTCCCTGCCAGGAAGAGGCAGGGCTCCAGTGGCGGCCTCCCAGGGCCCGGAGGGGGCCCAGCAGACAGGAGAGCCCTGACTCGCCCTGGACAAGCACAAGTCTGGGGAGAGCAGGAGTGCCGTGAGTGGGGCAGGGAGGCCTGAGGCAGTGAGGGGAATGGCCCCTGGGCTGGGGGCCCCTGCCCAGGCAAGGGAAGGGCTGGGACCATGGGTGTCAGGCTGCATGTCTGCCCCCAGCATCTTGTCAGGCCATGTCTCAGGCTCTACCACCCTCATCTATTCTCACCAAAGCTCTCATCAGGCCGCTACATTGCCATATCCAAAGGTCAAGCCTCTTCTTCATCTTACTTGGTCTAGAGGAGCCTCTAATGTCACGGATCATGTCCCACTTCTAAAAGCTCTTAAACATTTTTCTTCTTTTGCTCCTATGACACCAGCCTCCAGGTTTCCCTCCCACCTCATTGGCCACTTTGTGGTTTCTACGCATCTCCCAGGCCTTCCTGCACTGAAGAACCCTGGGGCCGCCTGGGACCTCGCCTGCACTGACTCACTCCATGGTGCTCTTACCCAACCATAGGCTTTCCAATTAGTATCTCTAGTCTAGACCTGCCTGAACTCTAGGTTACCTGCCGTAACCTTAATCTACAGATCTACCCCTCCAAAATCTACAGCTCCATGTGTCCAGTTGCTTAAACAGAAATCTAGAAGACATTTTGGATTCCTCTCTCAACAGATCTTGGTGGGCTTTAC